AGCGTTATTCCAGTGCTAGTGATGTATGGAGTTATGGTGTAGTAATGTATGAGATATGGAGTCTGGGACATAAACCATTTGAAAACTACACCAATCAAAAAGTGCATATCTATTACTAATAGACTGTGTCATTATTTTATTCTAGTGTTTGAGGATGCTTGATTCAGGATTTCGTCTTCCTCCTCCTCCTGGTTGTCCCAGGTCTATATATGAGATGATGATACAATGCTGGTATGTATCATTAATTACTGTATTATTAATATTTGTTTGTTTATAGGCATCCAGATACTGGTAGTCGTCCTACATTTGTACAGTTAGTATCAAGACTCTCATTATCTGATGTTAAACTGTTGAGTACAGTATCAAGTGATACTACAGTAATAGGAGGACCACTGGAGACTGGATACCAACTACATACTGAACTACAAAATATGTATCAGTAATTTAATTTTGTTGTTATTTTGCATGTTTGTTTTTATACAAGAATTGTTGTGAATTATCCATAAAAGCAAGAGTACATAAATATTATGTACTCTTGATAAAAGCATGATCTCAAAAAAACTGGGCATGACCAAGTTGCTGCACGCAATGTTTTCCATTTTTGTGTAGCATGTGAAAATGATACAAACTGGGTATCACCTCCTGGTTGTCCCAGAGGAAGACTGTAGGGTAGGATATATTTGCACACAGATGATTCGTGGCTGCTTATTTTTGCAATTTTTTCAGCACTCAGCAATTAACATGACTACCAGATGCAATTTTAATTAAATAGAGAACCACTCGCTATTGGTGAATGGCTCAATAAGGCTCCACTAAAGCTGCTAAAAATAGAACAATGTAAACACGTGGTCTTATTGTATTCCATGGAATTTAATTGAATCTTTTTAACGGACCTACAGTGTATCAATTGATGATGCACTGCTGGTATGTGTGAGTGTGTGTGTTGTTATATGTGTAGAATAAGAATATTTTAAAATGATGAGAAGAATTGTAATGTGATTTATTTTATTTTGCATCTTTTTGCTTTTACACTGTAAGGAATAAATTCTTCATTAGGAGTAAATGGCCATTTGTGGCTCTGCAAGGAGGAATGCATAGTTTATGTAAACAGAATCTTGTCTAAACTGTTATACTGCATCATCGACTATATGTGCAGTGCTGATCCAGCAGGTTATATTTATAACTAAAGGAAATTGCTAAGACAGTAGAAAATGTTGTGTGGATTGATGTTGCTGTTTTTTTTCTCTCTGTTAACAAAAGGTATTAGATAACTGGTCCTTTCAATGATTCTTGTTACTCTCTAGATACTGAGCAATGTACAGAGAGGTTTATGGAGCTACCATTAGTGACAGTAATATCACAAGGAATTGGAACAAATCCATCTCAAACCTATGTAGGTGACAATCAACTTAGAGTCCTTCAAGAGTATCAATTCAATTGTTCATCTACTAACATAACCAGTCTTATATTGGGTATTAATGTGAGGAGAGCTACTGGTAGTCGTACACTTTATCCCAGTGTTCAGGTCTTTAGACCTGATGGTAGTCTAGTGACTGGTAGTGAATAAACTATTTATTATTCTACCTCTAATGTCAGTACTAGTGGAGTGTTTGAATATCCACTCAATCCTCCTATACCAGTAATGAGTGGAGACCTGTTAGCTGTATCACAACCAACTCGAACAAAGAGTATTGTTAGAGTCTACTATATCAGTGGTATAACAACAAATAACCAGAGATTTAACTATGGCGATGCAACTGTTAACTTAAAGTGTAACTGCAGTGATTTTTTAGGGTATTTATTTTATGGTCTTAATATGATTGCCTGACCATAATAATGATGTGTTCCAACTCCTATTGTCTAAAAAAATTTATTCACTGAGATATGAGCCTTCAAAAATGCACTTTTTGCTTCCTTTCATTTTACTTCCTGTCAGTGGGTGTGGCTAAACGTGACGTCATAAGAGGCATAGATGCAGATAACTCCATTCCTTTATAGGGGGAAATGATCCTTTATTCTCCTGCCTTGTAATGTAATAGCACTAATTTAAAGATTGGGATCATTAGATTTCATTATCCTAAGCATGC